CTAGGTAGCCATGTCCAACGCAGCGTAAATAAAAACCCATTTACTGCCAAGAACATTCATATCAGGAGAGTATGGAATAAGAGAAAAAGTTTTAGTTTCTCTGCAATTTGACATCTCCTCATTCATAGCAGTGGTCCAACCAGGATCTTTTAAGGCTGAGGTGACAGTTTTGGGTTCAGGGTAGGATACTTTTTAAGTTAAGAGGACATATCTTGGATTTGGTTTTGAAATTCCAAGTTTAGACCGAGTAACCATTGGATGGGGGAGAGGTTCTGATGTAGTTTGATCAGAGACTGTGGTGGGAGCAAGAGAGGAAGGCATAACTGTCCTTGTTGATAAAGAGGGGACACTGTCGCCTATAGGAACATGGTCTGATCATGCCGTACGTCCAGAATGTCCTCCTTCATCAACAGTAGTCACACCAGCCGGTTGAGAGGAAAAAGCAGATAAAGGTAGAAAATCATTTTCTGTGAACAAAGGAGAGTCTGGTTCTGTTGACTCTGTTGAATTTATGGTAGATGTTGGTGGTACAGCAGGTTCTACTGTTGGTGTTGAAAAGATAGGACCAGGTGGGTCAACTCGATTGCCCGGAGGTGCTATTTCAGGATGCTCAAAGCCTTTAAGCCAAGCCGAATGCAGTGTAGACTTGTTGTCTTTCTGCATATATTGATAGGTGTCTGCAAAAGGGAATGATTCTTCCTCAAATATGACATGAAGACTAAGATAAACACGGCCAGTAGGCGGATGTAAACATCGATAGCCTTTATATTTAGCAGTGTAACCAAGAAAAACACATTTCAAGGACTTGAGATCAAATCTGTTTGCAGAATATGCTCAAAGATTTGGAAAACATGTGCAACCAATGGTTCTCAGTGAGGTATAATCTGGAGTTTGACCGTGGAGTCTCTCATATGGTGACTTATTGGACTCAAGAGCACTTGTAGGAAGAAGATTAATCAAAAAATTTGAGGTGAAAAAAGCTTCTACCCAATACTTCTGCAACATACAGCTTTCAAACATCATAGACATGCCTAATTCGACCAAGTGTATGTGCTTCTTTTCTGCTAATCCATTCTGTTGTGGAGTGTGAGGGCAAGAAATGAGTTGTTGAATCCCAAATTGTTGTAAGTGTGTTAAGAACTGATTACTCACGAACTCACATCCACCATCACATTGAAATTGTGAAAATTTTGCATTAAACTTATTCTCAACAAGCTTCTGAAATGCAACAAATGTAGAATAGAAACAAATGTAGAATAGAAATCAGACTTGTATTTCAGAGGGTAGAACCAACAAAACCGAGACCAATTGTCAATTAAAATTACATAGTATCTAAACCCCTGCACTGAAACAACAGGTGCAAGTCCCCAAAGATCACAATGCACTCTTTAAAGTGGTTTTGTTGCAACAAAAACTGAATCAGAAAAAAGAATTCCAGAGCTTTTTCCAAGCTGACAGGACTCGCACATCAAGCTTGAATTCTTATTTATGATGATAGATTTTGAAGAAGCCAACTGCTGCAGAACTTGAGCATTTGGATGACCCAATCTCCTATGCCAAACAACACTGCTTGCAGACTGTTGTCTAGAGGAGTAACGCACCACCGGCTTGGGCTTATTCGAATCTTTTAAGATGTAGAGACCTTAATTGTTTCTTCCCAGCATTAATAACCTCTTGGTTACCTTGTTCTTAACAACAACCCATCACAGTCAAACTTAAACGAACAAGGATAATCCTTAGTTACCTTAGACACAGATAATAATGATTTAGAAACATCAGGACAAAGCAAAACATCGTTCAAACTAAAACAAACTTAACCATGGTTTCAATCTGTGCTTAGTTATACTCGGATAGGGTTGCCAATGAACCAAAATGGTTGAAGACAGGAATCATACGAGCTGCAGAGAGTTACTGAAACCTTTCTTCTTTTGCATTTGTACTTTTGTCTTGTTGCAGAGTTGAAGATAACTGTTGAGACATAGTGGGATGCAGACTGATCTCAGCTGATTTGGGCTTTGTCTTGTTTGGCCCAATGGACAAAACTGCATTGTTTTGGTCAACTCGATATTCTGTTCTATTAAATATAATAGATAACCATAGTTGACAAAAAAAAAAATAACTATAGAGGACTAATCTTGAACTTCTTTCTTTCTCTCTCTTCCTCGTTTTTCTTTTTTGTCTTTTTTCTTCGGCAATAGTGTGAAGAGAGAGAGAAAAAGAAGATATAACTAAATCGAAAACAAGAGTAAAATTAATTTTTGCTAGTTAATAATAACTGATGAATAATAGCAGAAGAAAGAACTAATTTTGAACACATCCATGATCATATATTGGTATTTCTTAAAAAATAAATATACTAAAATATAAAATTAAGTATTTAGTCCGTGTTTTGTGCGGACACAAATATTTTCTCAAATAATTACAAATTTATAATTATTAATAAAATGATTTTAGTATTTAAAACTGTTAAATTTTATCTCTGAAGTAGTCATTATTTGTACATTAAATCAATAAATTATTTTAAACTATTATTTTTCTTAATCAGAATTTCTTTTTTCTTTTATTGAAATTATCGCTTTTTTCGTCGATTTGTATCTTTGTCTAAGCGCGAAACCATAGTAATAGAGTGTAAGTAAACAATTATTTTGTAGTTTTGATACCAAGTTCAGTCTTATCTCTAAATTAGTCATTATGTATATGTTCAATTTGATGTTCAAAAAAATATAAGTTAAATTTATAAGTGTATAAAATTTTCCGTTCATTTCTAAAGTAGTCATTACTTTTATACATTAAATTTATGGATTATATTAATTCTTCATTCCATCTAGCCATTAAGTTTTTTGGTTCTTAGTTTTATAATTTTAAATATTAATGTGGACCAAAAAAATTGAACTTTTAAATCCTATATGGAAACTCTTAGAGTCATATAGCTTTAACTTTTATTAGTAATAGACCATGTTCAAAATATCTCTAGACGCTAGTCCGGCAGTCGAGGTGCGCCTAGCGCCTAACAAAAAAATCAGAAATTAATCAGGGATTAATCGGGGATTAGTTTTTGAGTGTTTTCATTGTTTATATATATTAAATCTGTCGAAAAAAACTTAATGTTTAACTTAGTCTGGTGGTCTTGATATGTTAATTGGGCTTGGAAAACCCAAGTTCGTTCCGCGGAGGAGAAAATTTTATTTTTTTATATCTATATTTTTTAATAAGAATGAAAAGACAATTTTACCTTTGTCTTCTTTCTTCTCCCATATCGACTCTGCAACCCTAAATCGCGCCGTTAGCTCAATTTTTTCATTTTTTTCTTAGTTTTGGCTACTTATTCTTGTATTTTTAACCAAATTATGATAGATTCGTAAAAAATGAGATTTAGAATTTAAAACGCCCAAAAGATCGCCGATTTCTCTTATTCCTTGGTCTAGGCGGATTTGAATCGCTCTGCCGCCTAGCATCACCGATCAGAGTGAAATCGCCGCGGCTCTCCTCCACGGCTCCGCCCACCGCCTAGGATTAATTGTCAACTCGGCCGATTTTTCGAACACGGGTAATAGACTAGGTTTTTCAACTACGCTTCGTGTGGATATATTTTTAAATAATATTTTAATAAAAATATATATACACAAATTAATTATATTTATTAAAATATTACTTTATGTCTATTATTATATGTAATAATGTGTATTAAAATTTCAATTTCAATCTTAAAATTTGTATCTAATTTGTGAGGTTTCATGCTCTTATTTTGAAAATATAATATGTTATGTCTGGAAAACTTATAATTTGGTAGAATATTTATAAATAGTATACTAAAGCTAACTAAAAGTACGACAAAGTAGTCAAATGCTATTTAATAATCATAATATTGATACAAAGATTAAAAGTTATACATCAGTGTTCCAATTTTTTTCAAAAAATTATTGTTTTTCATCATTTTAGTTTCATTCTTATTATATACATATTTCTACAAAAATAACAAAAATAATAAATAGAAAAATTATTTTATTTTCTTAGCTAGTATAACCAACTTTCTAATTTAGTATACTACATTGAAAAATAAACTAATATTTACAATTTTTGCTTTCAGATCCATAACAATTTTTTTCTTGTATCATATTATTTATGTTAACTTTTAAATAACCTCATTTCTTCCAATCAAAGTGAATAACTTTTATTTTATTTTATTTAATTTCATTCTCATTATGTTTTCTATGGTATACAGAAAAAACAAGATAGTTTGAAATTTTAGCTACTTCAATCAATACAAATTTTCAGTTTAATTTACAAATGAAAAAGCAAACTAATAATCACAAATTTTATTCTCCTATCTAAGAAAAAATTGTTTTTTTTAAACCAAAACAAAAATAATCATGGAATGAGCATTAAAAAAAACTAAT